TTTTCCATTTGCATCAGACACCGTAATAGCTTTGCATAATTATCTAGAAATTGGGTCATAAGACAATATCCTTAAGCCCTTCTCTTAGTTAGAGAGATTCTGTACTTAGAGAGGCTCTGCAGTGTTGAATCTGATGCATAGAATTGAGATTCCCGCTCATGAGTAATCAGGCAGCTTAGATGGTGCATTGGTTTTGCCCACCTTGGAGGATTGTTCCATTTGCATCAGACACCATAATAGCTTTGCGTAATTATCTAGAAATTGGGTCATAAGACAGTATCCTTAAGCCCTTCTCTTAATTAGAGAGATTCTGTACTTAGAGAGGCTCTTCTTTTGCTATGAGATGGCTTGGAGCTTTTCCTTTGGTTGTTTGAGTTAGTTACCTACACCCATGCCCTATAGGTTGAGCCTTTAACAACCGTTGCTGAGAACTTCTGCCTGGATGTTGAAGAGTTCCCGACTGTCTTTATACTGGTACTCAAGTCATACCAGTCATCGATGCATGATACTTTTCTTTGATTATGCAATTTTTAAGTTCTTGATGGTCTGCAGAAATGTCACATTTTTTTTTATTGGTAATGCTGCCTTAGAAAGCAATACAAACTGTTTTTCTTTGGCCATGCCACCATAAGGTTTCATGTAGTCTTTTTCCACATCAATGGGGTCTCCTATTGCCCAAAAAGCCACCCTAAATATGATGCTTTGCCTTTTCTTTTCAAAGCAAGAATTTTGAATTTTTTGCCTTCTTTTCTTTTCAAAGCAAGAATTTTGAATTTGAAATTTCTGAAATTTTCTGCCTTGGTTTTCCTATTCCCTTTGAGGTGCATTATGTTGCTTAAAGTCTCTGAATTGAGAATCTGATTGCGGAATGAGAATATCTGTGTCATGGTTACTGATGCTTTGGCAATTTGATCTTCTAGGTGAATGGGTTGCATGCTCTGTAGGTGCAAATTTTACTCCCCATATCATCACAGTCAACGCAGGCGAGGTACATAACGACTGAATTTTTGTATTTATGCCTAGTATTGACATTGCATTATTTTTCCTTTTTGGCCATTTGTTCGTATAAGTGCAAACATAACATGAATTTCATGTTAAAAAACTGCTGTAAACATTGATCAGGATGTCATATATTTCCAAAATAGAGAAGGCAGAAAAATTGATTAAAAACTTTGCTTTATAGAACATTCCCTGATATTCGGTGAAATAGCCTGGAAGTTGCAAAAGCATTAATTTTTGTTATAACTTCTGAGATTGAATTATATGTTTTCCTATAATTCAAGGACTTGTTCTATTGACTTACATAAATAGATTATCATTTTGGTTGTTTAGGATGTCACAATGAAAATCATATCATTTTCCCAACAAGGTCCTCGAGCTATATGCGTGCTCTCAGCTAATGGTGTGATCTCTAGCGTTACACTTCGTCAGCCCGATTCTTCAGGGGGTACACTAACATACGAGGTGATGCATTTTATCCTTCCTCATGAACAATGATTTCTTTAAAACAATGGTTTGGCTTTACCTTAAAGGTGCACTTCTGTACAAAAGTTCAGTAACTGCACTTCTACATTAAGAGTTTCTAACAATTCTAATCAGAAAATCTGTGTCATTCAACTCTTTATAAAATGAAAAAGAAACATATGCTTGTGGTTGGTGATGTGTTCCATGCTGGGATTCATCAGTAGCTCTTGTTTAGAATTAATTCTCTTCTCCTGCTGCCTTTTATACTTGGGTTACGGTGCTGGTTGTTCATCTAAAATAAAGGTCTTAGTTTAAACCTTTAGAAGTTCTTGGAAAGTGGATGCTAACATGGTCCTGGAGTCACATTTGTAAAATGGGATCTCTATCTACTTTGCTCCTCCTCTTACTGGTGCCCTTTGAACTTGTAAACTACTTTTCCTCACTAATTCAATATTGGATTTGTATTAACACTTTTGGACCATTTGTTAACTACCTAATCCTAGCACCTAACGTTGCTTGTACTTTCTGATTTTTAATATCTATTTATCAATCTTTTCCCTGTGATTTTTCCAGGGTCGCTTTGAGATTTTGTCTTTATCTGGTTCATTTATGCCCACTGAAACTGGAGGAACAAGAAGCAGATCTGGTGGGATGAGTGTTTCATTAGCAAGTCCTGATGGAAGAGTTGTAGGTGGTGGAGTTGCTGGTCTGCTGGTAGCTGCAAGTCCCGTACAGGTTATTTTCCGATTTAACTGATCTCCCCAATCCCAGTGCACTATCTAGACTGTGGTGTTAAACCCATGTCAGAAGTTATAATCATCGTGGATGGCTTTTGAGACAGAGTTTGATATTCCTTTTCCTTTTCTTCTTGTTAATTGATTAGGTTGTAGTAGGTAGTTTTCTGGCTGGGAACCAGCATGATCAGAAGCCAAAGAAACAGAAGCATGATTCGTTATCAGGTGTCATGCCGACTGCTGCCATTCCTATTTCTATTGCTGATCCTAAATCCAATTTCTCATCTCCCTCATTTCGAGGAGATAGTTGGTCTCCTTTGCCTCCGGAATCAAGGAATAAGCCGGCAGACATTAACTTAACTTTGCCAGCAGGGTAATGGGGTTCACCTCAATCGTGCATCAAAAGGATTGTCGTCAGCTGACGACAATGGCATTCAACATCCAATCTGTTGTGCATCAAAAGGCTTGTCACTGACGACAATGGCATTCAACATCCAATCTTATAATCTCACCTTCAAGTGTTGTTTTATCTGTAATTCTATCAACAATTTATCAGTACTGGCATGTCGATTTTACCTATTTTGTTTTTCAGGTAGAATTTTAGTTAGCTGATTCGTTAGGCCTCTGTTGCTGTTGTGCCATGTAGAATAGCTGATGTAATATTTACCCCCCAGAGTTGCCCTTCTCCGGATTGATGGACACTTGGAAATTGTTATTTCTAACATTTCATCTACTCTTTTTAAAGGCTGTTAATGTTGCTCTGCGTGATGCAACAGGGCAACTTCTTAGAAATAGTTGTAATGACATTTTCAACTATTTTTATAATTTTTTTTCTTATTATGCTTTTTGAATGTATTTATTTTTAGTTATTTTTCCGTGTAATCATACAGGTTCGGTTTTTGGCAGCTGCTTAAAATTCTCTGTATTTTTGCAGTTCCTGACCACTATATAAACAATTTTCAATGCCAGAAACTAAAGCAAAGCTAACAAAGGGAGAAGTGTTGATGTTTTTTATGTTCTCTCCTCTCTCTGGTTGCAAAACTGCAAGTGGGTCTTCCCTAAATGTACAGTACTCCCACTCAAGTCAGCTCCCTATCAACATCAGAATGTCAATGAGATCAAGCATTTCAGATGCAACGTCCTTGAGCTCTAAATTCCCTGGAATCGCACGCATTTACGGCACGTAACCTGGCTATTTGTAGCATAGTTGTTAAACCGGTTATGAGTTTTACCGGACCAATTAACTAGGTTTTAGATTATACAGGGTGAGCTGGATCAATTCAAAAAAAATTAAAAAAATATTTAAGATTTTAATATATTACATGAAAAAGCTTTGCTATAGGCTATATAGAAAAAAATAAGATATGAAATATAATATAATTATTTCACATTAAAAAATTAAAAAATAATTACAAGGAATACATGATATAAAAGAAAAAATAATGTAAAATATACATTGGACTTAAGCTGTAACATCTAAATTCATTTTTTTTGGGCGATATTTGTATTTTGTATATTAAACTTGAGCTACCAAATCCGAGCTCAGACATCTAAATTCATTAAACTTGAGCTACCAAATCCGAGCTCAAAAGGTATTTTTTAGATTTATTTTGAAAGAATTTTTTAAATTTATTTTAAAGGGTTTTTTTAAATTTATTTTATTTGAATTCATTAATGGCCTCCAAGTTTTTATAATATTAATCTATAAAAACTTGTTAAAATTTTTAGTTATCATGATAATTTTATTAAATCTTTTTATACGAGAAGAGGGGTTAAAACCTCATAAGATAAATCACAGAACTTGTGTGTAGTAGTGTGCATTTTGAAAAAAATATATAAAGGAGAATCATAAGAGGAAATCATATTTAGAAAAAATCTTAAAAGGAATAAGGTGAGATATAAAAAAATTTATATTTAAAATCATGAGAAATTTATGGAAAAATAATTTTATACTTAGAAATTTTTTAAAAGAACAGAAAGTAACAAACCCATTTCTTTCAAAATTAATTAATTAAAAAAAAAAAAGAATTTTCAAAAACAGATTAAACTGTATTGCCAAACACACCTTATAAAGCGCCGCGGAAGTTTCTGCCTTATGATAGAAAATTTGGGTTGCTAGAAATAATGACCGAAACTTCTATGAAATTAAGTATCATATACCCTACCAATTAAAAAAACAGCAATTTCCGAGAATCACAAATTGGTTGGTCTCACATATAACCCCATGCACCTATATAACGGAAACCCCACTGCAAATTATTTAGAAAAGCACGGCATCAACAGCATAGCTCTGGTTTTTATTTGGTTACCTGTATCATCTATTTTTGTACAAGGAAATGAAGCTCGTTGCGTTACCAGTATCTCTGTTCTTAAATGCTTCTCTGGTTCTGAACTTTTCATCTGCTGTGTTTTTGCATTTGTTGTTCAACATCTTAATTTGGGTCATCGTTTTATGGAGTTATAAGCCATCCAAAGATGAACTTGATGGACTCTGGCTACCTAAACCGTCTTTATGTGAGTATCCATATGTAAAGAATAAAGGTGAGAGTCAGAGCAATGGGAATGCTGAATCTTCATGTGAAGTTGCTGGAGACATGTGTGTTAGGAGTAAGAGTGAGAATCACAGCAATGAGAAGGATCAGGACAATGACAATGGCAGAGACAATGATGAGAAACACAGTTGTTCTGATGGTTGTAATGAAGACGACTACGACAACGGGAGTGCCGGTGTGATTGGTTGGCAAGATGTTGCAGAAGAACTTGATGATAATCTGGAGAAGAGAATTAAAGACTTCATTGCTAAGGTTAATAAAGGATGGAGGGAAGAAATGTTAAGAGAAGGGACCAACAAACAATCACCTTCATCATAAGTTGTGGTTCGAGTAAACAAGTATTGAGACCACAGTCAATGGTTTTAGCAATTCCCAGAACCCAGAATTTCTGCAGGGGGTTCTCTTCATCAAGATTCCCTTTTGTACTCTACTTTGGTCTTTGCCTTACTGATGTATCTATCATTAGGAAGACAATCAAATATCGAATGCATAAGCATAAAGGTACATACTTGTATTCTCTTCCTACCGGTGCCATTGCCCAAAATGAGGCGGCTGAAGTGAGAAAGAATGATCCTAAACGTAACTTTATTGGAAAGAATCCACTATAAGAAAGCCCTGAATTCATAATATTTTCAACAAAGACACCCGAACGTTTTGTTAAAGCTGTCTTCGGAATCCACTAAATCTCACTTGTCCATTCAAGTGTGAGACTCGAAACCAGACTTCGTTTAAAAACTAAGAAAGAAAAAACAAAAATCTAATGTTATTATCAAGTATATGATGCTACTTGATGGCACCATAATATTCATTATTTTTTTCTAGTTACCGAAAGGCCCTCTCATTGATGGACGTAGTGGCTCGACCAAAGAAAAGGATTTCTCACTTATCTGACCAACGGGCCTGTAACTAAAGAAGTAACTTAGGGCCGCCATCAGACGAAGGCCACCTTCGCTATGCTCTTTGAGGGGAAGAAATAGAAGGACAAGACTAGCAGCCCCCTGCTAGCTATCTGTCCAACGGCACCATAATATCCATAATTTTTTTTATCAATTTTTTTTTATGTTTTTTTATTATTTTAATATATTAACGTTAAAAATATTTTTTTAAAATAAAAAATATTATATTAATATATTTTTAAAAAATACTTTAAAAAATAATTATCACAACATCCTACTATCACATATATATATATATATATATATTTTAATTTTCAATAAGCCTTCGAAAGTCAATTTTTTTTTTAAGACAAACAACACCAGAAGATCCTCGAAACCGACTTCGATCATATCAGCAGACTTTATTTGCTTTTTTGTCGTTTTCAACAATTTCAGAGAAACTTCGCGCACACAAAATAAAATTAAAATAAAAAAAGCAAACATCAAGGGGAGATTTTTCCCAAATTGCTTCATGACGTGTCAACGACGTGGTAAAGGTTCCAAGCTGCAAACGAACCTGGGCAGGACGAATCCTTGAACTGCATTTTAACCTCAACTCCGGTCTGCATGCCATGAAGATAATCAACTGAATTAAAACATTTGGGATTTTTCAAAAGTTTTTTGTGAATAACAAAGTACTTGGATTTCTTTTTTCTCCTTCATTGCTTATTGTTTATATGAACAATAATGTATATGAGGGTTTTTTTTAATTTTCAATTTTCTTTTTTTCAATTGAATTTTTTTATGGATAAATTAGATGAAATTATGTTTGAAATTGAAGTTAAAAACATAAAATTAAAAAATAGAGAACTGAAATGTAAAAAACCAAAAAAAAATGATACGTAGTACACCCAAAATTAACAATAAATTTATTTTGAACTAAAAGTTTTATTTTTTTAGTTATTGAGTTTCAAAAAGAAAAAAAATCATTAAAAAAAGTTTTGTCAGTTTTTGCAATTCCAAACATGAAAATAACCAAGTTTTGAGTTAAAGGATTTTATTAGATGAGATTAGTTCAATGATGATTATTTTTTCCTCTAAACAAACATGGCAGGAAAGAAAGATTGGTTCAAATTTGTGTTTTGAGATTCACTAGATTTTTTTTTGAGTGATTTTTAGGTATTTTTGAGTTATTTAGATAGATTTTTAAATAAAAATACATTAAAAATATTTTTTTATAACAACTCTGTATGATTTTCGAGCCACTGAAATAGCGACTAAATTTTAAACAACAATCTAGCAAGTGATCTATTGTATGTGCAATAAAAAAAAAAAAGAATTAGGCCTGCAGGCTTGATATGCTTTGCAGACGCATGTATAAGACTTTTTTTAAAAAAAAAATAGGTGGCTAGGCACTGCGCCACTAAGATCCAACCACCTTGTCTCTTTTTTATAGTTTATTTTCTTTTTTTAAAAAAAAAAAGGTGGCTAGGCACTGCGCCACCTTGTCTCTTTTTTATAGTTTATTTTTTAAAAAAGAAATTGTTTTAATATTAATACAATATTTTTATAAAATTATCCAGCTATTTTTTTCTACCTTCCATGGCTACCTTAGCTTTTCATCTGAATTTTTTTCTTTTTTTTTATGATTCTAATAATTGTTTTCTTGAACAAATTAACAGTAACCTCGCTTCTTTGTTTTCCCCCTCTCCGTGAGAGAATTGTCTAATACGAACCTAAAGCACCTACGATGAAAAGCCGCAAATTCTGAGGAAAAACTTGTCAAAAAAACAAAGAGATAACCTGGATAGATTCGCTATGAAACCCCAATTCCTAGGAGGGAGACATGAGAGAACCAGGGCAGGTGTTTTTCAGTCATCTCCAGCTTTAATTGGATTACACTGTGATCATAATTTACTCAATATATAATTATCAGTGGAATAACATGACTTTTTTGAAAGGCTTGTGTTAGAATAAAAATGATAAATAATGCCTTCAAAACTTGAAAGCATACCGATCCCCCCCCAGATAAATAAATGAGTATGAAAGAAATACTGCCTTGTATTCATTGCAACATATCACATTGAGGTCGAACAAGAATCACCTAAAACTAGATAGAACCAATAATTTACTCAATATGTGTTTAGTTGCTGACAAAGTTCATTTTTTATAACTTAAAAAAACAATGTTCAAGTGTTATTAATATATCTTAAAGCTTAAAAGAATTATGTGACTCAAGTTATATATACCCTCTAGAACCTATAAAATGATTTAATTTCATTGCATGATATAAAAAAAAGTAACAACAACAAATATATCAATTTTAATCTAGGTTAACATTTTATACTCTTAACCTGGGTTATTTGATTGAAATCATTGTACAGAAAAAAATTATAAAACTTAATCTTCAACAATTCAATGTTAAAAG